TGGCACACTTTCAAACACACTTTCTCTCAACTGTAACTCACACCTGACTGCACTGAACAAGTTGAAACTTGTCACACACACTTACTAAGGTTCGACGCGCTACTTCCCATATTGAAGATCCCTGCCTTCATTGGATGGCACTCAGCAGCAGCATTCATTGTATTTTTTTATCACAACAGAAAAGTTCAGTGTCACACATCACTTTTGGTATGGCAATTTCTGTCAAATTAAAACATTATGGTGTGTCCTCATCCACCTTATTCACTGAATCTGACACTGTACAACTACTGGCTCTTCCCCAAAGTCAAAATGACCATTGAAAGGTAAACAATTTGAATTGGTTCAGGGTATTGAGGCAGCCACAACAGCACAACTAAAGACACTCGGGAAAGAGGACTTCCTGAACTGCTTCAGAGTGGCAAGAACAATGGGATAAGTGTGATTGAAGCGAGGGGGAGTATTTTGAGGAGGATTAATGGTAATATGTCTTTTACTGTAATACATTTTTTTATTTAAACATTCACCGTATTTTTTTATCACACCTTGTATGTTATTATAGCTTTGCCTCTTCTAGAATTTCATATAAATGTAGTCAAACAGCATGTAATTTTTTGCATTTAATTTCTTTGACTTAGTTTTCCATTTTGAGATTAACTCATGTTGTATATATTAATATTTCATTCTTTTTTATTGCTGATTAGTATTACATAGTATGGACATAATTTGTCTATTCACGAGTTGATAGATATTTGTTTTTTATTTTTTGGCTATTATGAATAATGCTTTTATGAACATTAACATACAAGTTTTTCTGTGAACATATGTATTCATTTTTTCTTGAATAATTGCCTAAGAGTGGGATTGCTAGGTAGAATAGTAAATGTATATTTAACTTTATAAAATATTCTCAAGTTGTTTTCCAAAGTGGCTGTACCATTTTTCATTCCCACCAGCAATGTATGAGAGTTACAGTTGCTTCACACTATCATACTTGGATTGGCAGGCCTTTTACTTTAGCCATTTTAATGGGTGTATAGTACATCCCACTGGGGTTTTAATATGCATTTTCCTGTACTAGTTTAGATGAACTTCATTAAATGTGCTTATTGGCTATTCGTATATCTTATTTTGTGAAATGTCTATTCTAGTCTTTTGCCCATTTTAAAAACTAGATTATCTTTTTATTATTGAGTTTCAAGAGTGCTGTATATTTTGGATATAATAAGTGCTTTCTGAGTTTCTCCCAGTCTGTGGCTTTCCTTTTTGTTTTCTTAATTGTTTTTTGAAGGGCATTAGTTTTTAATTTTGATAAAGTCTACTTTACCATTTTTTTCTATTATTTTAATAGTTGTAACACTTATGTTGAGGTCTATGATTCACTTTGTGTGAATTTTTGCTTATGGTATGTGGTAAAGGTTGAGGTTTTCACCCTAATTATGGAAATTATAGCATAGATATATGAATGACAACAGAGTCAACTCTTACAGTGATTTATAAGAAAATGAGGATACAATTTTGAGAGGTATAGATCAGGATAAAGTTGAAGTTTTCCAGCTAGTGGATTGGAAAACAATTATAAAAGAAAGAGAGAGAGGCCAAGAAAAGGGCTCTTTCCAAGAGAAGAGTTTGGATGGCAGTTATGAGACATAATGAAAGAAGAACAATAAATGAAAACTGAAATTGATGGCAATGACAGCATCTATATCCAGAAATGATAGTATCAGTAATCAAAACACTGTATATCAGATTTGGAAACAAAGATGCCTATTTTTTTGCCTATTTTCTTTGTTTCATTAAATGTATGTATACTTTCCTTTTTAGCTCCATTGCAACTAGATAAAAAGAGCACTATCTATAGTTATTATACAATTACAGATTGTTATTTTACAATTGTAGATCGGTTCAAGTTAAAAGGCCCAAGTCTTCAATGACATCTCCGTAGGTGTAATGAATAGGGGCTTTTAAAAGTCAAATGGGAATATAGCTATGCTTGCTCCATCCTTCCTCACCCACAGTTCCTGTTCCACAAAGGTAACCACTTGCACTCGTTTAACTGTTTATTGGTGTTTATTCCCACATTTTATATAACTTTTACCTATTTTTTATTTAATAAATTTTAAACATCAAAATGCTAATATGAAAGATGGGCCTCATAACATTTCCTGCATTTATTTTCCTTCATATTTTCTCTGGAACTCCTTTAGTTGATGTTGAAACTCCTGGATTCCTCCACTAATACACTAATTTTTAAATCATTACTCTCATTCTTTATTCATTTCTCCCTTCCTTCCTTCCAGTCTACTTTTTTTATTCTGGGAGAATTCTTGGAATTCTTTTTTCCAAATCTATTAAAATTTTAAGGTCAGCATCATATTGTTTATTTCCAAAAGCACTTCTTTATATTTCATTGCTCTATAATTTCTATGATTCTAATTACAGTATTGTATCATTTATGTGTGTGTATGTTCTTCTGTTCCTTGCCTTGTTTTTTTTTCTTTTTGTTTTGAGCTATTTTTCATGTTAGGGCTTTAATCAAATTTCTGTGATCTTTAGCTCTACATTAATATTAACATTAGGACCAGGAAGATTATTGCAGAGGTAGGGCTTGTAAAATTGTAAAATAGTGGGTTTCACTGTGCAGCATTCAGTCAAATATCTAGGTGTTTACTTTATATGACTCCTAATGTCAGTATCTATAGGTGTTCTCAGAGTCTTCTCATTTTTACAGAAAAGAACCTTTCTGTCATTTGACACCTGGAAACGATCAGCTTTTCTGGAGTCCAGCAGTAGAAAGGTGTTGGGACCCTATTCTATATATAAACTCTTATTCACTTCTTTTCAGTGTGGTACTCTTATCTACTTTACCTGTCATCACTAAATTTGGAGACACTCCGTTACACTTTGTCTAGATAATAAATTTCTGTTTCCTTCCACCTAGGAGAATTGAGTGTATCAGCTGCTCTTTTTATAATTATTTTATTTAAGCCTAACCTTCCACTCTCACCCAGTTGTTCCAGTTGAGCCTTTCTGTTTACAGCTTTGTCACAAATTAACTTGCTTCTAGGTGTCATCCTTATCTGCTGGCTTTTTATGTAAGCCACTGAGTTGCTAATTTACAGTGCTTTATTTGTTTTCCTTTCAAAATTTTCTGGTACTTTTCATCTACTGATGTCTCCTCAACCTTTTAGTTTTGGTAAATATGTGCTCCCCCTCATCCCCTTACTGTCATTTTAATGAAGTAGAAGGAAGGAAGATGTAGAAATAAAGTCGTGTGCTGTGCTTAATGATGGTGGTACATTCTGAGAAATGTATCAGGCGGCTTCATCCTTGTGCAAACATCGTAGAGTACTTATGCAAACATAGATGGTATAGACTACTACACACCTAGGAGATACATATATATATATATATATACTGGAGTGCCCAAAAAATGTAAACAGGTGGACACTTTGGTTAACATTGCTCATGCAGGAGTTTGCTATAATCAAAAGTTTCTAGATGCTGATTGTAACCACTTTGAGCACCTCTTGTAATTGCAGAAGTCAAATGTGACTTGTATTCATCTTTTGTTATCTGTATATATTGAGTATTATAATTTTAATAGTTTTTTTCCTTTCTTAAAATGTGTATACATTTTTTAGGCAACCCAAGCAACCCTTTGAGGCAACCCAAGCGCCAAACGAGCGCTCCTGACTCGTCAGCCAGGAGCGCACCTGGGAGGATTGGGTGGGAGACGAAGAGAGAGACAGAGACAAAAGCTGGGAACAGGAGGGACTCAGACTGCTGATGGCCGACTGAGACCTCGTTTACTGGATATACACTGGTTATATAGGAAACGATTTTTTCTTATCGGGGAGCAATTCCCTTATTACTAAGGAGGGAGCAATCTTTCTGATGTGGAACAGAACAAAGTATAACAAGTAGAAACTGTTAACAGGATGACTATCCACTCTAACTTTTAAGGTTGTCTGTGACGTTAGCTGGTCTTCTTTAGCGGCACAGTGGAGATGAGTCAGGGGCACAGTGGAGATGGGTCAGCAACCTTCCCACGCTGTTCCCCAAGGACTAAGAGCCTGTCAGCTTGCCAGCTGTCAGGCTTAACCCTTACTGTAGTTCTGGTCTGTAACTTGTCAGCTGCCCTCGAGCTGCTCACCCTAACATGGAGGCCTGTAGCTTACCAGCTTACAGCCTCAGTATCCCTGGCTGTTCCCAGCCAGCTCCCCACACCCTTTGCATATATATGACCGATGGGACCACCGTCATATATGCGGTCCATCACTTACCAAAGTGTCATCATGTAGCACATGGCTGTATCTTATTTAACCACACGTCCTGTTTAATATTCCTATTCATTTAATTTTTTTATCCCCTCATCATAGGCTTTTCCAATTTTATATGTTTGTCCTTTCACCCTGTCACCTGTTCTTTATGTTTTCTCTTGTTACTAATTTATGAAGTGTGCAAGGTTATGTTTAAAAGCAGTTTAAGCTACATGCACCCATGAATGTCATTTGTGTTTGAGCTTCCTTTTATACTAGAAGAGTAGGTTTGAAATAAAGAGTCTATTTTATAATAGCACATTTCTGAGTTTTTCTTAATAAAAGTAGGAAAAGTCACAACTGTTAGCAATATTGATGATGATAGCTACTTTACTGGATGTTTACTACATGCTAGGCACTAAATATGTTACAGTTATTAACACTTAGTGATGATTTTTTATATTCCCTTTTAGAAGAGGCCTGGGAAATTTATAAATAAAGACACAACCTGAAAGACTTGTGAGTTAAGTCTCATCCTTCTCCGTGAAAATACAGCTAAGGAAAAACTCAGAAAACCTAGGAAACAGAAAAGTATTTCCTCTCATTACAGACATTGATTCTTAAGACTACAGCTTTATGTAAGGGACTCAATTTAAAAGAGTTTGGAAAAGAAATTATACTTAAATATGAGAGAAGCTAAAAGAACGAACCATTAAAAATATAATGAGAATGCAATATTTCATCCTGTGTTGTAATCATCTAATCTTAGGATAATCAATGTAAAAAGATTTCCATCATGAATTCAACTTCATTAGATACCTGAGAATTGATATTTGAGAGGAAAGCATTTGAATTTAGCGAATGTGGGAAAGCTTTTATCTGTATCACATGGCAAGAGATACTGAAGTCTTGTTGGAGAAAATATCTGTATGATAAGAATGTTGGAAAGCCTTCAGACTGAGTCAGATCTTCTTCAGCATGATCAAATTCACACTCGAGAGAAACCTTATCAATGTAATGAATGTGGAAAAACCTTTAGCCTGAAGCAAAACCTCATAGAGCATAATAAAATGCATACCGGAGAAAAATCACATGAATGTACTGAATGTGATAAAGTATTCTCTCGAGTCTCATCTCTTACTCTACATTTGAGAAGTCATACAGGAAATAAACCATATAAATGTAGTAAATGTGGAAAAGCCTTTAGCCAGAAGAGAAACTTCCTTTCTCATCAGAAACATCATGCAGAAGAGAAACCTTATGAATGTGGGAGAGCTTCTATTCAGATTCCAAGCCTTATTAAACACCAGAGAAATCACACTGGAAACAAACCATATGCATGTAAAGAATGTGGGAAAGCCTTCAATGGCAAATCCTATCTCACTGAGCATGAGAAAATTCATACGGGAGAGAAACCATTTGAATGTAATCAATGTGGAAGAACCTTCAGCCAGAAGCAATACCTCATTAAACACCAGAATATTCATAGTGGAAAGAAACCCTTTAAATGTAATGAGTGTGGAAAAGCCTTTAGCCAGAAGGAAAACCTCATTATCCATCAAAGAATACATACTGGAGAGAAACCTTATGAGTGTAAAGGGTGTGGAAAAGCTTTCATTCAGAAATCAAGCCTCATTAGACACCAGAGAAGTCATACAGGAGAGAAACCCTATATATGTAAGGAATGTGGGAAAGCCTTTAGTGGCAAATCAAATCTCACTGAGCATGAGAAAATTCATATTGGAGAGAAACCCTATAAATGTAATGAATGTGGAACAATCTTTAGGCAGAAGCAATACCTCATTAAACATCACAATATTCATACAGGAGAGAAACCCTATGAATGTAATAAATGTGGAAAAGCCTTCTCTCGAATCACATCACTTATTGTACATGTGAGAATTCATACAGGCGATAAACCTTATGAATGTAAAATATGTGGGAAAGCCTTCTGTCAAAGCTCATCTCTTACTGTGCATATGAGAAGCCATACAGGTGAGAAGCCCTATGGTTGTAATGAATGTGGAAAAGCCTTCTCTCAGTTCTCAACTCTTGCTCTACATATGAGAATCCATACTGGAGAAAAGCCTTATCAGTGTAGTGACTGTGGGAAAGCTTTCAGCCAGAAGTCACATCACATTCGACATCAGAGAATTCATACTCATTAAAGCTTTATGAATGCCTTGAATTCAGGAAAACCTTCAATAGAATTCCTACTTAATAATAGATCAGAAAATTCATTTTACAATAAAGTGACATGAATGTGGAAAATCCTTCAGCAACAACTCAAAACTTAAAATACTGAGATTTTAAATAATAAGTATAGTGTCATAAAAACTTATACTACCAGAATCCCCATAACCAACATTGGTAGTGCTGTATGTTTAGAAGCATTCTAATCAACATGGTTTGGAAGGCCTACTTGATGCATTAAGACAAAGATAGAGGTATAAAGATTTGTAATTAAGATAGAAAATTGTCATTTTTTTGTTATATGTTTGCTATATGCATATTCATCAATTATTTGCTCTTGATGAAGTCATTAAAAAAAGATTGTGACAGAATATTGTATCCAGAAACATATGGATGCCTTCATGAGGAATTGGCAGTTGATAGAGGTGGTATCACAAGTTGGTAGGGAAATCATGGATTATTCAAAAATAGTCTCAGGGTAATTGACTCTTCATATGGAAAAATACTATAATAGATACATATTTGCTGTCACTGTACATTAAAATATTTATTATGAAATCAAATAATATCAAAGAGTAGAATGCAAAAAGCAAAACTTAGTAATACAAGAATTTTGTAGGAGGATGTTTTTAAAACCTTGGAGTAGGAAAGAATTTCTAAAATAGACTCCAGAATACTCACTCTTGAGTATATATACATATACTCTGAAACTGATGCATTTACCTAGGCAGTCATGTACCTTTATGTTCATTGCCGCATGAATTATATTAGCAAAATATTGGAAACAAATGTCTGTCTTGTGAAATGGTTAAATAAAATATGTTGTAGTCATACAGTAGAATATTCTCTAGTAGTTAAGTACAACAAATTAAATCTATATTAACAGGAAAAGATCTGAAAAATCATGTAGAGTGAAGGAAAATGAAAATGATGAATATATTATAATGATAACCTGTGTGGATTTGACTTAAATCATTGGTAGCCAACACCAATATTAATCATTGGTTATGGATGAACATTTTTATGTAAAACTATGGAGAATGGATTGAAAGAACACACTTAGTTCTCAAAAGTGGTTGCCACTAGAAAGAAAGGCGATGCAAGGGAAATGGGATCAAGCATGGTAGTTAAAGGATACTTCAGTTTTTGTATCTAAATGTCTCTTATTAAAAAGAAATAAAGATTCCAGGTAAACATAACAAAATGCTAATTAATTCTGAGTTGTGGTAATTAATATATGTGCTTATTTTTTGTGCTATTTCTTTTCAACTTGTGAAAACTACAAAAGAGATTAAGAGTAGGAAAGCTGTACATAAAGTACATGTTAAGTGGACTCACGTTCCCAGTCAGATGCCAATATTTTATAGAAAATATTTCTAAAATCGTATCTTAAAATATGAAATAATTTTTAAATTGTGACTTAACATATTCAGTTATTTAAATTTACTCTCACATCACATCACTAATCTGTGTGTATTCTCTATTAGAAGTTATAGCATGATTTTGCAACAGATTGATTGAATCACGTACATTTAAAGATCATAATGCACAGCTGTGGTAGAGAGAAAATTAGTTTTTACTGAAACATTTATTAGAAATTTTAATACTCCATATAACCAGTATTGGCATTAGAAATTTGACATTTTTAAAAGGAGGAAACCATGTTACTCTTAAATTTTTTAATATGCCAGAGTAAAACATCCACTCTAGCATTTCAGCTTCAATTTTAACCTCAGACTAATTTCTTCTCTATTCTGACAGACACAATCAATCCTCTCCTCTTATTTGTTTTCTTGGGGGCAAAGGGTGCTGAAAAGAGAGATCTCAGACCTAAACAGTATTTTATTTGAAGCAAATCTTTTTCGGGGGTCTTTGAAAGGGACACTTGATCCCTTTTCACAATAACAACATATGTAAAGCCTTCAGTACTCTATTTGAAGTGATAAAAATGAGTATGCAACATTTAAAAAATTAGATTGATTTCAGATACATCAATTTCTTTTAAACTCAAAATATCAAAATGCTAATGTAACGGTAACTCTACACTGCTTGTTGTTAGCATTTTTCAAAGTTAGTCTTGAGGTAAGATTGTAAATGCCAGGGGTTGATTTTCTGATGTAATGTACCCAAATAATATATATGTGTATCTACATGAATCTAAGTTATTTTCTGTTACCTCCCATTCCTCATTAAACATTCTCTCATATTCCTTAAGTGTTCTGCCCTTGTGCACCTCTGAAGTTACTAGAGCATCTAGGAACTCTTAATTCAGACCAAACTAGGAAGACTACCTTTTGCTGCCTATAATTGGCAATGCCAAGACCCAGCAACAAGGATAATTATAATGGTAAGATGAGCAATCACTCCTCAGTATTCTGTGATATTGTGTAAATTTAGTCAGCCATCTCCCTATTGATTCAGCTTGTAGTTATTGCCACCACAAACAACACTACAGTAAACACCCTTGTAATCGGCCTTTACATTTTAGCTATTTTTATTGCTGGGGGTAGATTACAGACAAGAGGTTGTTAGACATAGCAAAGGATCTATATACTGCTTTTTAATTTTAATAGATGCTGTCAGTCATTTTAAAAAAGACAAGTTTCCTCTAGCCCTGTACTAGATGGTATTCTACTCAAATTCATGCTTGTCTCATGAATATAAACCTCACCTGTTCCTAGATTTGCTTTGTAAATTTTGATTGTTGGATTATGTATCTTTTTGTCAATTTTAAAGACTTCTTCATATATTAGACATTAGAAGTTTGTCTAATTTTTGCTATAAAAATGACTTTTTCCATAAAAATACCTTTAAATTTCTATATAACCAAATATGTATGAAATTTTTCCTAATCTTATGGATCATTTAGGAAGATGTTTAATATCTAGGTTGTATATATTATTTCTTAGGTTTTCTTGTAAGTTGTTTGTTAGTTTTTTCAATATGTAAATATTTAATCCATATAGAATTTAATTTTTAATGTCATATAAAATGTTTATTGTTATTTTCTTCCAGATGGGTTTCTGTTGCACAAGCACCATTCATTAAAATAATTCATCTGCTCAGTAGCTAGTCACACAGCCCTGATACCAGCAGCAAACACAGATTTGAACTGGCAATCAAATAAACAGAATAGGCTTTTATAACCTTGCATTAGGTTTATTAGCAGCTTTGTCCTGACAAGGAATCATCTTCACAATATGTCATCAGACAGTCCTGAAACTCCCCAAGCAAGCACAGCTTCTAGGACTTCAGCATCGCACAGGGAAGAAGTCAGAATGGGTGTAGTCACCTCAGCATTGGGAAACATTAACATTCTCATCCAGGACATCTTAAAATAATTCACCAGTGCATCTGCATGGCATGCCACCATCATATGGGGCACACTCAGTTGTGAGACTGATATCCACTTAAGCACAGGGAAGCCACTGCCTTGGTTTCCCAAGACTTACAATGCCTTAGTCACATAGGCTGTCAATGTCTATATGCCAATTCATAGCTCTCCCCATCCAGATAAAGGCTACAAATGAGGGATTTACAGAATTATTTTCTTCAAACAAATTGGTAGAAAGGTAAATGTAAGGTCATATTTCCTGGGAAAGGCCTGTTCTTAATGCTTTACCGATAATGCCTTTTCCTATTCAACTGAAACTGCTATGTAATCATTTACCCATATGATCTTTTCCTCATTCAATTGAAACTACCTTGTATTTTCATTTATACCAAGACCTATTTCTGTATCACTTTAGAAATATATTTTTCTGTTCCTATACTAATGCCATATTAATTGATAACAGTTTAACATTAGCCTTGTATTTAGATATTGCATAATAAGAGTAGGCCCCTCTTGCTGTTTTTCAGTTTTACTGCCTAATCTAATTTTTTTTTTTAAGATTTTATTGGGAAATTGTGGGAGGGAATAGCACTGGGGAATCAGGGAAGGGGAACAGACGTTGCTGTCCTTTTGTTCTTCAGTCGAGTTGTGGAGGACGTCGCTTCACTGGCCCATGTTGGTATTGTGATCATTGCACTCTTCCTGGCTGAGGCAGATTGTTCGCCATTGGACAGCCGCTTACAGAGGCTCATGCCCACTGCCGGCCGCTTACGGCAGCCCATGCCGTCACCAGCGACTCACAGCAGCCCAGTTCCAGGTTGAGCTGTTGTTCACCATCCTAACTGTGGAGGACGCAGTGTCACTGGCCCATGTTGGGTCCGAACTGGCAGTCCTGCTGCTCAGAGCTCATGCTCCCAAGCCAACTCTTAATCAATGAGCCACTTGGCCGGCCCTAATCTAAGTTAATTTTATTTCTACATAAACGAAGATAGTTTTCTCAAATTGCAAAACCCTTCGATATTCTAATTGGAATTGGATTAAATGGAATTGGATTAAACATTTGTTTTGGGAGAAATGACATTGATAATATTGCCATTCTGCTCCCAAATATAGTATGCTTTTGTATTCAAATTGTGATTCATGTCCTTCAGCATAAGGATTCTAAACAAAGTACAGTAATGCCTTGGTTTGCGAGTATAATTCGTTCCTGAAACAAACTACTCATATTGCAAGACATCACTTGTTTACCATGTTAAAATGTATTAGAAATGTCTGCTCATCTTGCAGAACACTCCCAAACCAAGTTACTCACAATCCAAGGTTTTACTGTAATTTGAAGCCATCTGCTTAACACTGTTATATCAAGAAAGGTTATTTGGATGAATAAGAAAAATCCCTGTATGGACTAAATGTTTCTATTCCCCTAGAGTTCGTATGTTGAAACCCTAATTCCCAATGTGATGGTATTTGGAGGTGGGGCCTTAGAAAGGTAATTAGGTTTAGATTAGGTCACGATGGTGGGACACTCATAATGGGAACAGTACCCTTATAAGAAGACAGAGATATCTCTCCAAGGAAAGGCCATGTGAGCAGTCAATGAGAAGGCAGCTGTGTACAAGCCAGGAAGTGGACCTTCACCAGGAACCAAATCTGCCAGCACTTTTATCTTTGGACTTGCAGCCTCCAAAACTCTGAGAAATAAATGTCTGTTGTTTAAACCACTTAGTCTATGGTATTTTGTTATAGTAGCCTAAGCTAAGACAATCCATTTCCTGCTTGATCCTACCACAGTCAGTTACATATGGGCTAAGCATCTAATCAGATGCTCACTACATGCTCCTAATGGTAAGACAAAGACACTTCATTAGGAGTGTAATCCCAACTCCATTAACAAGGTCTGTCATT